GGGCGGGTATGGGGGGTGTTCGTGGGGTTGTTAGGGGTTCTGGAGTCTGGACCCAAAAAAAAAAGGGAAAAAAAAAGGGCGGGTCCCGAGGACCCTCGACCTGTAGGTGCCGACCAGTCAAGGCAACCAACCGTTCGTGGGGTTGTTTAGGGGTTCTGGAGTCTGGACCCACAAAAAAAAGGAAAAAAAAAAGGGCGGGTCCCGACGACCCCCGCCCTGCCGACCAGTCAAGGCGACTGACCGTCGGGGTATGCAACACTGGTATCACCCCTATTAAAAATTTGGTCTGCCACAGAAATCTGCCAGATTTCACTACAACCTTTCACAGGATTTCAGACACCGAAGGATTGTAACTGACATCAAGACAAATAGCACAATAATTATGCTTTCGAGACCCGTTCAGGGCAGACCCACACTACTAATTTCCTGGATGCATCAGACTGCAATTACGGCAAGACCTGAATGCATATGACCAGGACTACGTCCTCGGCTCAGTCAAAAAAGTCCTTGTGCGAGTCCCCATGCGCTCATCTTCCCAAAAAAAGATCGGGGACACAGCAGACATCGCTATTACTCATCATCGACAAGATGGGCACAAACGGGGTTCGCCAGACCCTGGCCGTCAGAAAAAAACGAGGGTGTCCTAAACTGTATTTTTTTCTTTTTTTTTATAGGGCGTTATAAGTTTAAACTGGTTTTAAAGTTTAATAGCGAGTAGAACAGTCCTGAAGGACAGAAACAGCCGCCAGCTCCAGAACCGTTCACACGGGGGCGGGGCAAGGGGGAGTAGAATAGTCTATATGCACAGGGCAGCCCTCGTAGAAAGGCCATGGTTCGGCGGGGTGGGACCCCCTGTTGCAGCTCCGCCCTCATCCGGCTACTAGTACCACAAGGATACGGGCTGTTCCCCTTTCTCGTCTGATCTCCCCCTTTCTCTGGATGCACAAACATGTTTGCCTGTGATAAGCAACCGGCCAGAAGGGGTCATTCTGTCAATAGTTTATCGGCATACATGCAAGCGCACACCGTGTGGAAACTTGTGCAACGGACCCGGACGGTCCGGCGCACGCATGTGCGGCACATGGGGGAAATACTCACCCGAGAAAAACTGGGGTCGCGGCCTTGGGTCAACCGGAAGGAAAAAAAAAATGCGCGCGACTGTAATGTCGCTAGCTAAAGGTCAAGACTGATGTCCCAGACACCTCCTTGAGGCTATTTCTCATATGCCCAATTATAATATTATTATATGCCCAATTACGCCCAATTGGACGAAAAGGGAAATCTGTACAGCAGAACTTCACAGTGGAAACAGATCAGATACTTTGTAGGTGGTGCACTCTACAGTATCTACAAAAACAGCAAAAAAAAAAAAAAAAAAAAAAAGGAAGGGAAACTGCTGCTGCTGATATGGTGCGGGGGCAGGTGCCGCACAGCACGCTGTGACGCGCACACACCACACGGTGCGGTTGCAACATTGCAGCTCGGCGAACACTCTGACGACCCAGGTGGGCACAAACAGGTCTGTGTGCCCAATTCTCTGCCCAGCGGTCAATCCACAGAGTGAGCTCTTTGTACTCAGTCTAGCTATGGGGACGGGTTTTGAAAAAGACGGCAATGGTCGCGGTGGATCGCCTGTCCACCTACCTCCTCTTTTGCAGAGTAGTAGCCCCATTTCGCCGACAGCTCGTTCTCGACAAACACTCGGCCCTCTCGCTGGAAGAACCAGTATCGGTTCCTGTCCCGGTCCCGTCCCAGAGGGCTCATTCGAACGAAGTATTTCTCACAGTCTCTCTGGAACTGCTCCTCCTGCACCGGGAATTGCCAACAAAAAAAAAAGAAAAAAAAAGGACAAGGAAAAGGAACAGGAATTGCCAAACCAGACAAGGAAAGACAACAGGGGTCAACCAAAAAAAAAAAGTCCTTTGGGACATTTGAGTCATGATTTGACACAGATTGGAGCAGTAGTACACACAGAGAAGATTAGCATGCCCCCTGTGCAAGGATGACACGCATAAATCCAGGAATGGTGCAAAATTGACATAAAAAACAAAAAAGAACAGGAGCGCCAAGGCAAGCGCACAAGCTCCAGCCATAAATGACTGCGGCAAACTGAGTAATCTAACAATACTATAGTCATTGACGAACGGTTTCCCTCTCCATATTCAGATCTGTCCATAGGACTCCATACAGAAGAACAAACAGAGGAATGAGCCACAGAAAGAAAAAAAAAACGAAAGAAAGGGCAATTAAAATGGTGTCAAGGGGGTGGGGGGGGCTGTATTAAGAAACACAAGAGAGCCTAGGAAGCAGGAAGATCATCCACCCATGAATAAATGCACTAAAATGACAACAGTTACTCCGAACTTACTCACAACTGGTTTCAGTGAAATTCACTCTCCGTATTCAGATTCGTCCATGGCTGCGATCCGGACGTACGGATCGCGGAGCGGACGATCTGTGCCCGGATGTCCGGTACAGAGCATCCAGATCAGGTCCCCCACCTTGAAAAACAAATTTCCGACTAAAAAAGGGGAAAAAAAAAGGATACTTGCGGCACACTTCTGCAGTGCGCCGTGCGGTGCGCGTGTACCATGCCCCGTGCGCAAATTAGTGATGTGGCGCAGATGCAAGAGAGAGAGAGAGAGAGAGAGAGAGAGAGAGAGAGAGAGAGAGAGAGAG